AAAAACGAAAAACGTGGGGCGCATGAAATACATAACAGTATATATACACATACATATACACATTTTCTTACTCATACACATGCACAGCCACATATACATCCACATACATATGGATATACACAAACATATTCCACATCCACATTCATATACAATTACAATTACAGATATACCATACACATATTCTCAAAAGCACACATGCACACACTATAGCATTACTGTTATGTATTTCATGCACCCCACGTTTTTCGTTTTTCAAATTTTTTTTTAATTATTATTCTCCACTACAAAAACGTGGTTTTTAAAAATAATATTTTTTTTTAAGTAATATTTATTATTATTTATATTAACGAATTATTTATATTACACGTATTTATATAATACGAATTTATTTGACGATTTTTGATTTATATCACGAATTATACTATAGCATATTTCTAATAGGTTTAACGAATTACATGTCATTTATTTGAATTCAAATTTATTTTAATGACTTAGTATTTACTTAAAAGATGTAATTTTTTTAAAAAAAAAGTTTTTATATGGATTTGAATGATTGTTTTGAATTCTTAGAATTTTGTGCATTTACAATGTACCTAAGTTAGCAGCAAGCGAAGCGAGCTTGGTTTTCGAAACAAACCATACAAGATTGCGTAGCAGTTTTCGGGGGTTGGCGAGCGTTAGCGAGCATGGGGTGCAGCCCACTAGTTTTTACAATAATTTTAAATGTATCCACGTATAAGCGTAATGTTCAAAAATCTTAGTTAAAGACATTTTAAACGGAGAAAACTATAGTTATAGTAAGGGTAATTAGATTTAGTACGTTAATTGGCTGAAAACTACAAGGATCATTCGTAAATTAAGTTCTGATTCCACCCGACTAACCACGCATGCGTAATAACTCCTGCCACGTCTTGCACGGTAAACGACGCCATTTGCTTTGGTATTTTTGCAGTGCTACACTTAAAATGTTTATAACAACTCATCGATTGTGAAATACGAAGAAGATTTCCGTTTTTATCAGTTGTCAATAAAGTTACAACAGCAATACGGAATAAACGGCGTGATCTCCTGCCGTCTGGAATTCTGTAAATGCAGGACAATGCATGACCTATATTTGCCATTCTTTTTTTGGATAGGAACAAGCTGACCACCTACCTTAGTGCTGAGTGATTTTTATGTGTTCAGTTGTTTTTAAGTATTGCTCAGTGAGAAAAACTTGGACACGAAAGACAATGTCAAAGAAACAGATCAGGATAATTTATCTATCTATAACAAATGGCTATACTTGGGTAATAAGTATATCGAATGGTTATACTTGTGTAACTAGAATAGTAAATGGCTCTTCTCATTTATTAAATATAGCAAATGGCTATATTTATTAATGTCACTACATAGGCGTACTAAAGCTTAAAGAACGTTATAGCTAATATTTAGATAAACATGGAATTAATATTTTTTTAAAAAACGTGTATAGATTTAAATTAACAAACTTCTGAAAAAATCGGTATTTTTTACGCTTTATAAGAAATTGGACCTGACTTTCCGAGAACATTTGCAGAGTAATATAAGGAGTTAATTCAAACTTACTTTCGCAATCTTGTAATCGGTGTGAAATACACGAAAAAATAACGATTAAACAGAGCAACGTTAATTTACTGTGATGACGACTTCAGCTCCACGATGTTTTATTGGTTTGATGTTAGATTGGAAAATGGATAAATCTCGATTACATGATAACTCTGCACAAACTAAAATTTGGTTTAATTTCATTTGAATGACTGCCTTTTTGTTCAAGTTATCAATATTAACGTAGAACTTTTTTTTCTTACAACTTAATAAATGATAATAATACAGAGATCTAGCATTTTAATCAACTCTTCCACGATTTCACGTATACATGTGGGTAACAGACCAAAGCAGCGTAAAAAAACCAGGGAAATTTAAAAAAACTGGTAATAAAATTATTTTATTTCTATCTTTTTATGACGGAAAATAAAGTGTCCGAGACTTTCACAGTTTATTAACTGTTATAGCATTTACGGCATCGAGAATGAAACTTCCAAGCAAAAATATTCCTCATATTTTTAATATAAGTTATTTTTTTCTAAAATTGTATTTTTTTAATATTTCAGATCCCCTTAATGTATTTTTTCTCGAAATTTTATCTGCAAACAAGTAACAGGAATTAAAAAGTTAATAACTTTTTAAGTTTATTTGAAAAATTTTGCAAATATTTCTTACCTTCTTCCTTCTTAGCACCACAAAGTCCTGTTAAGGTAAATAAAGAAACTGTCATATTAGTGATCAATAGGAGCAACAAAATCAACATTTTAATATGGAAATAATATAAATTGGACATTTTAATAACCACCATTGCATTTAATCATAAAATTATAACTATTTCCAGCTACCTGTGGCGAAAAGCTTAGTCACCTTTCAAAATTATCTTGTACAACATATTAACTTTAATAGTAATCAAGCTGAATGTCCAGCACAGCTGCAAATAAATATTCGAATTCTTCAACTCCTCCACAAATTCTATCACCTTAATTGGTTTTAAACAATATATTAACCAACTTTTTTCCCCATCCAACTGTTGCCCGTGGCTGTTCTGGCTCGGAATTAGTTTGATTTCAATTTTAACTATTTTCAAAAGATGTTCGTGGTATTGCTAAGGTTCTTAATATATTAAGTTTTTGTAAGAATTTAAAATCCGTCCGGCAGCCATCCCTCCGGCAAATCCCTCAAACCACTGTAAGTATGAGTTCGGGACATCTCAGCATCGGAAAAATTCAAATTCCGGCACAAATAATTGGTATTACTATATGCGGCACCATAACACAGTTCATGTTTAAAATTTCTACATCCATTTTAGAAAGAATAAAAAGTAAATCTAAATAATTACTTCGTTATCAAAATTTTAATTCTGTAAAAATATAATATTATTCTAAATAAATACCTAACGTATAACTAAATACTCAACACTACTTAAACTGTCACTTAAGACTAACTAACAAAATCCATCTAAACAATAACGTATAATTATTAAACACTACTTAAATTATTACTTTAGACAACCTAGTAAAATGATTTATTATAGATGACTAAAGTGTTGCCAATTTAGATTGAAAACTACCCTAATTTTCGGCGTCAGGTAAGGGAAAAGATATAGAAAATAATAAACGGTAAATGAATATTAAATAAGTCTCCAAGTTTTTAAAAGAACTAGGAAGAGAATAAAGAGTAAGTCAAACATTCATCTAAAAGATCAATCAGACTTTTCTCTTTTTCTAAAAGAAATCATTTAAATTATATTTTTTTTTCTTATTAAATCCCCTATGAATTACAGTAAATCAAGACTTTGCTGTAATCGAAATTTATTTATGAATATAATGTCCAGTCATGATTCAAAAAGCACCATTTCTCCTTCTTTTGTTCACCCAAAAGAACCTTCTGTTTCATTATTCTTTCAAAATACAATAAAAATATTTATACATATAATAACTTTGGAAGGTTTTTTTGCAATTTGTTACCTTACTCAAAAAAATTCGATAATTATTTTTGCGAGTTAAAATATTTTTAATTTTTTTTCTTCTAGAAGAGTCTTGAAGCAGACCATAAAAGAATAATTTCTTATGCATTGAGTATTATTTAAGTAATTGAGTTATACGTTTATTAGTAAGACTTTTCATTCTTGATGCTTAAAAATTCATCAAAAACTATTTATGGCCTTGTTCAGTCTTAATACGTTTCAGTACTAAGAACTACTGAATCATTTAACATTCAATCAGGTAGCATTTTTTATATTAATTTATTATTTATACAATTTTTATTCATACTTTATAATGGCCATTACTCATTTATTTTGTTCACGAAAATGTTAATTTTACGACAGTTTAGTTCTTTTTATCTGACAACAGTAGTCAACAACAGCTCTCAGCAGACAACAGTACTCAACATAGTGACAGCAGACACTAAACATACTAATACAATGAATCACATCACTTATTTAAGCATAGTTGCCTTAAGTGGGCGTTATATCGCGAGAAAAACATTTCATTTTAATTCGTGTTTCACATTTACTGGTTATTTAAGGTAGAGAAAAAGTCTAGATAAATCAAAAGTAAATAATTTTTTTTTGATGTTTCATGGTTTACTCTTTGATTAATCTGAACTTACTTTTTTTCTATAATTTAAATTTTTAATTACTGATATAAGTAAAACAAAATTCACAATGAAAGGTTTATCTTCAAATATAGCGTCCTCTTAAGCAAAAGTTACGTCTTAGAAATGCCATCACGTCAAGTTTTTGAATACAAATAATTTCTATCATAAAGAAAACACTTGAACTTGATTATGGCGATTTGGCGACATTATTAATATTTGGCGACAAAACTGTACATTTTCTGTTTAAAAAAAATAGCCAAATAAATTAGCATATAACATCAAAGTGTGTTTTATATAACATCAAAGTGTATTTTATTGGGCTCGTAAAACATGTATCAAAGTTATTTGACACAAGTTTTACAAACATAGTAACATTATTTCGCTCAATTTTTCAATTATGCTGTGAAGTGGAATTATCACCAGGGGGAGGAGAAAAAAAAGTCAAAATACCTCTCAACAGTTATGATCTCTATAGTGATGTCATAATTATGACACTATTGGGCTTAAGGTATGATTAACCCTTTTGACATGAAGTAATTTAATGAACTAATTATATAAATATTGATTTTAGAAGACATAACAAAACCTTGGTTTGCATTTTATAGTATTGCAAATAGTCACAAAATAAAGTGGTTACTAGTCAGGAAGATTACATTTTGAAACTCCATGTTGTCCTCTCAAAGAGGATGTAAAAGTGCAAAAGGGTAGAAGCATAATTTGCGTTTTGTGTTGTTTTTAATGATATAATTAACTTTTGTGTTCCTGGATATTTACGTTTTCCTTCATTGTGACTAAAACAATTAAAAGAAAAAAAGATGTCAAGGAGTTTTTCTGCATGGTGTACCTTAGTAGATCCAAATTTCATTTTCCTTCCCACTGAGAATTCGGTTTTCAAAAATGTAGGTGTCGATACCAAAGTGTACAAAAGCTGTTTTACACAAAGCATTTTATGGCAGAAGAGACGTGTAAACTAAAATTGTTAGCACGCCAAAGAATATTACATCGTATAAAATAAAGAAACAACTTATCGAAAGTTTTTTTTTAAATCAAAATTTTATAAGGTTGTTTTCTTACCTCTCAAACAGTCTAAAAGAGCAGATCCCATTTTTATATCTTAAAGAAATCAGACTAAAAATGTTTGTTCTTTTTCATTTGAAAATATAAATAAAGATCTTTCATATAACATACAGTTTTATAAAGTCCGCAGTAAGGCTGATATGATTATGCTAACCGTAGTTTCTGAAACTTATTCATCGATAAACAGAAATGACAATATGAATTCATACGAAACCAAAATGAGGTTATTTTATGTGATGTTTTGTACACTGTGACGTCATAAATTCATAGCATTGTTAAAAGTTAAAGACACATAAAACCTAAAACCGCGTGTTCTTTTCGTTGACAGTTGCAATTTTTATGTTTTGCGTCTAGTTAACTTGGCAGTGTTTTAGAAAATAAAGTAATTTTGAGGCCATAACTCAGAGATTTTAAGCTATTGAAAAACTTTGAGAAAGAAAGTTTTAATCATATTTAACAGGTCTCGGGTAAAAATTTTCCTTCAGTCTTATTTCATTATGCGGCATTTATTAATTGGGAATTTATTGAGATCTCTGATTTCAGTGAATCAATGTAATTAATAAGTTTTAAAATGTTTTCTGAATAAAAGTGGGTTTTAGCATTCTTTGCAAAATAAATGATGTTTTCCTCATTTTTTGTTAGACTAAGACACCAAGAATGCAAATGCTGAACCGCGAATAATACAACTGAATGTTAGAGAATTGACTTAGTCCATCGTAAGTATGTAGACAGGCAATAAATATTTGACACTATATTTATTTCCACACATATTCTAAACTATTTAGCAACATTCTTCATGTCTATCTTCGTTTCCAAGCTGAAAAAACTTTGAATTCCAGAAAAAAGGTCTGTTTATTTAAAAGAAAGTATGTTTTGTGTCTGATTTCCTATTAATTGCCAGTGCTAGCTAATTTGAGTAATGTAGCTGCACAATTGTCTCTCACTGTTGTACAGATTTTTGACTTTCTTTTTGCTTTAAAATCGGTATTTTTAGCAAAAGACGCTTATGTTTTTGAATGCAAAAAAAAAAATTTCGACATTCAAATTATTTTTCAGAGAAACATATTTCTAAAAATCCGAGTATACAAGGTCACGTGACTAAGGATAAGTTCTCCTTTTTACAGCTTTTACAATGGCTGTTAATTGACTTGTGGAAAATAAAATGCATTTTTAAGGGACCAAATAAGAAGGGTTTGCTAGAATTTTAACTTTGAACTATGTAAGTTTTTAACATTTTCTTGTTGTTTACATTTCTCAAAACTCTCATTGAACACGTAACAATACTTTTTATTTCACGTACTAATTGAGATCGATATGAACTTTTTCGATCACCTGATACTGTAAATAAGAAAATGGATTTTAACATATTTTTTATATTTTTATTAACATACTATTGAAAGATCTATTATTTAAGCATGAAAGCGTTAATGGACAAAATTAACTCATTTTAGCTCAGCTAATACTATTGCCACTCACATCTAAGATAACTTTCATTAATAACTGCATTAATTATAAGTTCTACAAAATATTTGAAAGCGTAGTTTAGTTTCAATGTTACGAATTATTCAGCAAATGTAACTAATCACTCGATCTCGATTGTCCATTTAATTAAAAATAACTTTATTTCATTCATTGTGGAAATGGCCTGCAAGAGGCTTCACCGTTCTCATTACATACCCTAATGCTGCACCTGACATAATTCTCTCAATTAAAGTGCAGCTTTAACGAGCTTCTCTCCTCTAATCAAGCGTATCTCTAGCATAGAGAGTGGAACCGGCAACAATTACATATCGCTATATTGTTCGAATTTTCCCTTTCAGCCGTTCCAAAAGCGAAACCATACAAACTCACCCCTTATAATAGCCTCAGAGTCTTTCTATGTTAAGGCAGTGCGGTATTAACTCTAGTTTCTCATATGCTGAAGTGTATATCAAAAGAATAGATCTCAGCTGAAACCGAAATGAATAGTGAGTTTTGATTAGAATAGAATGCTGAATTCGATGAGAACGTTGAATGACGAGGAATCCTCAGGAAATGGTCAAAGTGCAGGGAAGTTGGTGTCTTTTGAGGAAAAGATACGGGATAGGAAATGGCAAGTAATGATACCAATTATAAGCGCTTAACTCAGGACGGTACCCCTTAATTAATATAATAGCAGAAGAGGGTTGGCTAGTTTGCCTACAAGAAAGGCAGAAGATAGTATAGAGCTTAAATTTGCAACATTTAAGATGCATTTACACTCTATTCATAATTTGGAACAATTAGTTATTGATTGCCCATATACAACTAATCAAGAATACAGTACAAATCTAAGAGCTAAAATTGTATCATTATTGTCCTTATTTTCTAATACGAGACAAGATTTGATTTAGCTGTTACTCAGTATTTAACAAGATTTGATTTAGTTGTCACACAATATTTTACAAGATTTGACTTAGTTATCAAGTAATATTTTACAAGATTTGATTTAGTTGTCTCGCTATATTTGGCAAGATTTAACTTAGTTGTCAGACAATATTTCACAAGATTTGATTTAAATATCACACAATATTCTACATGATTTGATAAAGCTGTCACACAATATTTTACAAGATTTTATTTAGCTGGCACACAATAGTTTAGAAGATTTAATTCAGGCCAGTTACTTTTCAAAATCATTCTTTCTGTTGCAGGTTTATGCTTTAACGATGGTAACAGACTTCACATTATTTGCTAATTTTTGTTCAATTAAGTGTATTTGCCTCTGGATTGATATATTCAGAAGTTGCTATTGCATGAGATTTCTTTTTTATGCTCTGAACCATGATAATGAAAGCGCAAATATGAGAATTGCCCTAAGACTATTACTAAATGTATAAATATATTTAAAGGTGATTCCTGCGAAATAATATCGAAATGTTCTCCAATACTCTATTATAAAGCTGACCATATTCAAATATTCAGCTTATTTTCAATACATATATTTTTCATCATTTTCCCCCCATCGAATCGCAATTGTACTTCATCGTCAATGACGGTGCTTTATATTGTTTTTAAAATAAAAATATATACTTAGCAGATTATTTAAATAAAATATTACTTATATGACTATTTCGAATTACATTTCACTAGCTATTATTTATCCGCTTATATTTATTAATCATTTTCAAGAAAAATATAATATGATTAGTAAATTTGGAATTCCTTTTTGCTCTCTGTGAATGCTTGTGATGACTTGGATATAATAAAGAAATGAATATATATTGTACATTTGGATAATACTGATTAGGAAATGCAAGTAGTTGTAAGTGATAAGGCGACAGCTAAATAAAATTTCTCAATCAGACAGTGGGGCAACAAACCTCTCCTTCATGCTGACCCATAGTAGAATTTAATATAGTGTCTGTATAACATAAGAAGATTAAATGTCTAGAAAACTAGATTTCAGAGTTTGAATGAAACTTATAGGTTTGGTTTAAAAATCCTTGTATTTATCTCCCAGTTAGTTTCTTGAAAATTTCAGTCTTAGCTCTCCTTGTCCTCAATAATGGGTTGCAAATTAATGTTTAAAAGAGCGAAAAAATATGTTTCCAAAATTCTGAATAACTATTACTGATGTAAGAAAGAACATCAATCGGATTAAAATAATTTAAAACCAGTTTATTTAGGAATGAAGCTTGAAATATGTTTCTAACAGAGGACGAATGTATTTCAGTCACACTAAGCAAAAAAACTGTTTATACTTATTTATTTTTATTGATTTTATTTTTAATTTTATTTGTCAATACTCTTTTTTGTTGATGGTTCCAGTTTTTTCTTTGCTTTCTTTATTCTCAACAATGATTTGTCGGAATTTTGAAAAGTTTTATTTATTTATTTATTTATTTATTTATTCATTTACTTATTTATTTATTTATTTATTTCTCACGCAAATATTAGGCTGCGAACCTTGATGAGGGTAGTTTATTAATAATTTCGTATTTTTACAAGGTTTCAAAATCAATGTATTAAAGGTGTACATTTCGGAAAACCCTATGTATAGCTTTAATGATATTCTCTAAAACTACAATTGTAATATTTTTTTCAATTGCTGATAAAAGTCTTCTTAACTATTTTATTTATTTATTTTTTTCATATTAACATTAAAAATTCTATAAAAATTACAGTCTTTCTACTAACTTTATATATTTCTTGTAATACTTAAAATTAAAATTATATCAATAATTTGAGCATAAGGCTTTATGATATTAATTTGCACGCATCAAAGCTAAACTAATCTGGGTGATTATAAATTTATTTATTTATTTATTTTACGAATTGAACCTACTTTGTAAAAAATATTTATAAACTTGCGCATGATCAGAAAATTATAAATAAAAAAATATCTGTCGACAAACATAGCAATTCAATCAATATTTAAAACCCACCAGACTATGTGTCTAACACGGATAATACAGAGATATATCTATCCCTTACAACACGGAATGAGGTTCAATTATCTTTCCTTAGATGGTTCACTTCATTATGAGTGACATTTGAGTCTGGGCTCCTGTAATAAAGTTATCGCCTTCCCCATTAGACACTGTAATGAGAAGAGGAGCTACAACTCACTAGGTAATGGAAAGCTCTAATGCAATATTTTGTACTAAATCCGCTACACCAGGATACAAGATCCTTTTCTGATACTCCGGGTAAAAGGTTGAAAGTCGAAGGAAGCGTTCAAGAACCTGGTGTTATGTTACAAGAAAAAGATTTCATTTGTTTAGAGGGTGTTTCGTAATCTAACTCTCTTCATTATAATGTTCAAACGAAAATAGTAATCTTGGTTTTTAAAAATACGATTCTTTAAAGAAAATATTTCAATTAATTTAATGCATATATATATATAGTATTATTGTATTTTGTCTGAGGAAGTAAGGACAGAAAAAGCGAGAACCTGTTTAATTGCCGCAGGAAATGAAGCTGGAATTATTCGATGCATCTCTAAGTTTCACACACACCTAAACTAGTTTAAATGCTTTCATTTCCACTTTCCTCAGTAGTGATTGTTAAAATTTGAAAACCTTCTGTATTTTTTCCTCAGTTAAAGATCATTTTACCATCTCTAATTTGCATTATTCTTAAATTCGTTGTTCACAAAGATTCTAAATGCATTCTAAATCAGCTACACCAGGACACATGATCCCTTTTTGATACTCCGGGGATTCTGAATATATATATATATATATATATATATATTCAGAATCCCCGGAGTATCA